CTGGTGCGTTCCAGCCTGGGTTTAAATAAGATATTAAAGGTTTCTGTTTCAGACTACATTCTCACCCTGCAGAAGGCCACATCCCACGATTTTTCATTTAATATTTTTCCTTGTTTAGGAGAACCACTGATCCATGCAATTGTTGTTTTCACTCGCTATGCATCGCTACTTGCTGCAGCAATGTGTACAGAACTGTTTGTTCTGAACTGCGTCCAACCAACGGAACTCTTCCCAACACCTGTTCGCAGTGCTGGCATCGCTTTTATACAGACGTTCAACCGCTTAGGAACGATTGTCAGCCCGCTCGTTTTCATACCAGTACGTTTTTCGGGATCGTTACGTTTTCAAAACTTATTTACGGCGTCAAACCCCCAACAGCTTGCCTGTAAGCAACCCTCGAAAAAGGAAGTCATCGACAGCCTTGCCAGTGGATGGCTGCTGTTGGCAGTTGTTACCACGCGAGCTACTTTGAAGTGCCCTCGCCACTCATAGAGAGAGAATACGGAGGAGTTGTTAACCGTTTGATTTTGTGTATCTGCTTCGGCAAACCAGATGAATAACGGAAGTAACTGAAACTAACAGAAAATGAACACCTGCCGTGGTTGTGCTCGGCGTGTACCTGCATCCCTATAATGTCAGTGGCTTTACATTGCTTTTACATAATATCTTGGTGTTGCTCAAAAACGTTGGTGCCAGTCGGCTGACATGAACTGCTGGAGCAATTTTAATCAAGGAAAAGTTTAAAAATAGAGAGTTAAGACCAGGGATGGCATCAAAAATGCCTTTTTTCAGAGTAAGCATTGGCCGCCAGCACCTTTCCTGCTGATGTTCATTACAAGCATGGCTGATCTCCTCCTGTACTTCTTTCTGGTGCCAGAAACTCGTGGCAAAAAACTGCCGGACCATATGCCAGGCGATGAACCGGAAAAAGAAGATGCCACTGGTGGCAAGCAGGAGGCTGCAGTGATTGCTGTTGCTCAGACGCCCCCAAACAAAAACGTTCACAGTATCAACCTGAACACCAAATATTAAAAATATATTAGATCTATGCATTGCGTGATCAGTCATTGTTTCCTAACACGCAATGCTATTTTAAGCTAAGAGGGCCACGTTATTTTTTTTCTTTCTTCGAGTGGTAAGTGTCGAATTTATAGGCCTTGTGGCTTTTTACACATTGCCTTACAGCAATAGTATTGTTACATGTTTATCCTGACTAACAGTGTGGGTCAAAATTTCCCAAATTAAACGTGGCATCTACGTTTTAATCAGGAGATAAATTTGCCTCTATGATTTGTTAATTTTTTTGATGTCGAGGGGGCACTCGGGTGTCTAACATGCAAAAACCCAAATTAATTTTGCTACCGCTCTGCGTTTCATTAATCTCAAGCGGGAGATTTGCGCGAAATACGAACTCTGGCTAGCTGCTGAGTTCTGACAATGGAAAAATCAAGATAAAAGGGTTTCAACTATTTAAAACTTGGAACAGTTAAGCAAAACCATTTCTTTTTTCCGCTGTTCATGCCAAAGTCTTCCAGAGTGATTCTTTCATTATTATTTGTATTTGTGTTTGATTTTGCTTTCTAAGTTATATTTGCAATGTTATTTTGACGATATTCGAACCAAATGAATTGTGGTTTTCGTTCACCTACTCAGCCTCACGAGTTGATAATATGGGACATTCATTCCACTTCAATTTTCAGATCATCGAGACGAAAGCTTACTTGGCTGCCGACGAATAGTATCATATATATACCCACAAACGCACAAGAAAATATATATATATTTATACACACTGATTCATTGCAATATGAGCTTTCACATTTGCGTAAATGCGCAAAAACACATAAAAAAGTACGGATTTCGCTTGGATGGCGCAAGGTCGTCGCCTTTTTTCATGCAGCTTGCATAATTTTTTATGCAAGAACCGCCAAACATGTCCTTCATCCACATGAAAATTCCATTTCCTCTGCTGCTTTCGAAACTTCAAAATCCACAAAGTTCGAAACTCACCACTCCCTCATTAACAGAAGAAGAGAAATCGTTGGTCTAATGTATTTCCAAATTCATCCCAAGACAAGCAAAGGACACAGATCGTGAAATTGGCCGTTTTCAGTGGCACTTTTTTTGCTTCTGAGCATAAAACAAACATGCAGCAATGTAATCTGATAGTTAACAAAACTAAACGTTTCTGCTTTTGATTGTTTCAGAAGCGCAACGGCTGCATGCAAAATGCGTCTGCAAGCTTCCTAACATTTTTGCTTGCCAGTATCAGCGAGAAAAACGCTTCAAGTTTTAACATTTAAAATGATGATAAGCATCAAAAAGTCAAAAATTCCTTCATATTAACTTCCAGCGCGAATCGAAGCCACTAGAAAGCAACTGGAATGGTGACAAATGCCAACAACAGCTATTCGCTGGTAGGGGCTTCGGTGATATCTTCTAAGAGTTGTTTGCAAGCAAGCCGGCAACTGTTTGTGTCCGATTACCGTCGGAACGAATGAATGAATCGTAGATAGTCGTAGAAAATTATTCTTAAAATTTATTCCAGTCAACAATCTCCACCACTGCAATATTCCTGATGATGATCAAAGAAACTTTTCAGCGAGACACTCTCAGCCTTGTCTCGTAAATCATACAAAAAAAAAAACTTCGCATAAAACCATTTTCAAAATGACTACACTTTCACGCGACTCTACAACAGGCTACAAAATCCAGTGCATTTGCAATGTTTGACGTGTGTACAACCATACGGCACATGTCTTTGCCTACTCAGTTGAATAATCCAGCAGAGAGTCTGCTTCTAGCGTTGTAAGACTTAATTTCTTGCACCTCATTCTGCACATGAAGTGATAGCAGCGAGGATAGAGTGCGGCGCAGGATAGCAGTAGCTGACGGCTAGCTCAGTGATCCCCGTCAGCCGAGCCAGCTGTTTTCCTGGAATGCTTCGAGCAGCTGGGGCAGACGGTCATTCACATCCCTAGTCGAAATGGGGGATTTGGGGGAATTTACTTTGTTTCACTAGAACAAAAACGTTTTTCGCTGATGAAATAGCCCGTTAACCAATTCACTATTCATCTCTGGGAATCTGAACCAGTGAGTCCACAGGCACGATTTTCATGGTGTCCTTGATCTCATCGCCTTC